GCTCAGGGAACCATATGGGGTGCCAGGGATTGAACTTGGGTCCAATGTATGCAAGGTGTGCATAGACTCTGACCCAATTTTGGGAGAACCCAAAACAAGTCAGGCACAACAATTTTTAGAAATGCCAATTTAGTCTCTGTAAATCATGGGAAGGATAATATAATCATACACACACACACACACACACACACACACACACACACACACACACTCACTCACCAAAAACAAACAAAAACAGTATCGCACAGGGTTACATTAAATGAAGCATATAATAAGTACACAAAGCTTAAGCATAATTTTAAAAATTGCTTTCCCAACATAAAATAAGAATAATTAGTAATCTTGTTTTTAAGTTTCTACATTAGAATAGTATTTGTAGTCTGAAATCATTTTAAAATAGAATCCTTCACCAAATTTTTGATAATTTTTTTTTCAAGGAGCTGAAGCAATAGTACAGTGTGGCCATATGCCTTGTGTCCAGCTGACCCAAGACCAATCCCCAGCACTGCATGTGGTTCCCTGAGCTTCACCTAGGAGCGATCCCTAAGCGAGGTTGGGAATAAACTCTGAGCACTACCAGGTGTGTCCCAGAAACAAACAAACCAAAAAAAGCAACAAAAGAAAATTCAAGAGGGCAAGGGAGATGCTGAAAGGGCTGGAGCACCTATTCTGCATGTTTGAGCCCAGGCTCCAACTCCAGCATCACATGATCTTAACAAGTACTGCCCGGAGTGGCCCAAATCTAAGAAAAAAAAAGTGAAAATTTAATTTTAGAGGTTCAAGTTTACTCACTATCAAATATCTGACTTTTTTTTTTACTTTTTGGGTCACACCTGGCGATGCTCAGGGCTTACTCCTGGCTTTGCACTCAGGAATCACTCCTGGCGGTGCTCAGGGGACCATATGGGATGCTGGAAATCGAACCTGGGTCGGCCACGTGCAAGGCAAACGCCCTACCCGCTGTGCTATTGCTCCAGCCCCTATCTGACATTTTTATTTTGGAGACAGAATATTAGATAACTGACAGAATATTAGATAACTCTTTTAATAGTGGAAGTATTATACATAGATGTAAATTTATAATTACACATAGCTAAGACTTGTATAATGCTATGATGTCATATCAATATACAGTTATAAAATATAATGTTTAATTCAAGGATAAAAACAATATCCTTTAGCATTTCGGCTAGAAATGGTGGTTTTCTGAATCAACAATTCTGAAACCACTAGAGGGACTTGGGTCCACAGCAGTATGGTGAGTAGGACATTTATCTTGCAATGGCCAATCGGGCTCCATTTCTAGCATCCCACATGGGCCCTCACAGGGGGGAGCGATAGCACAGCGGTAGGGCGTTCGCCTTACAAGCGGCCAACATGGCCGACCCGAGTTCGATTCCTCCGCCCCTCTTGGAGAGCCCGGCAAACTACCGAGAGTATTCGATATGCCAGACACAGTAACAACAAAGTCTCCAATGGAGACGTTACTGGGCCCGCTCGAGCAAATCGACGATCAACAGGAGGGCCTTTACCTTTTACCTTACATGGGCCCTTGAACCTCACTAGGAGTCATTCCTGAGGTAATGTCCACCCCAGCTGCCAGAAAGGAGGGGCAATGGTGCTTCTAAATGAAAGCAAATGCAGACATTTATTTGTGATGTGTTCAATAACTATTCTTGAATGGTCTAGAAAGGGATAAACTCTTTTCCAATGCAGCCCAAGAGGCTGGAGAGAGAGCACAGGGGGCAGGGTACTTGCCTTGCACATGATCACCTGGGTCTGAACCCTAGCACTCCATAGGGCCCTCAGAGGCCATCAGGAGTGATTCCAGAGCAGAGCCAGGGATGAGCCTTAAATAATGATGGGTGTGATCCAACAATAACAAAAATGCAGTTCAAATATCCTTTTGCAAGGATTCCATTCATTCAGAAGAATGACTTTGAATGACTATGTGTATTTACCTGGACATATCACAGGAAGAAAATATCTAAGGAAGAAGAGACTAAAATTATCCAATGACTGATTTTCATCCTGTCTTCTTTTAGAATATTAAGGTTCTATTCCTCCTCAGCCTGTCAAGATGTGGAGCCTCCTCCATCGTCACGTGCTGGGGATCTAAAGAAAATGTCAGGGTGTCCAGGGTGTTGCTGTCAGTCCCCAGAAAGCAGAGATGCGGGAAGCCCGCCTGCAGCCACAGAAGGAGGAGACCACCACATGCCGCACACACAGCCTGAGCCAATGTGTACTTCCAACCCTGCCAGTCACAGAGTTCCCAATCAGAATATAGTTAAAGTCAAGTAAAAAAAAAAAAATCCCAAACTCAGTTGTGTTTGCTGGCTAAATGCTAAGATTTCTTGACAGTTTATTGTCAAAAAAGAAAGAAATCCATGTGAAGATACTTCACAGTTTCATGTTTTAGCTGCTTCCAGGTTCTCTAATGACAGTATTATAATAGAAGATTCAGAGAGCACACAGAGAACAGCTCTCCAAAATGCAAATCCCTGTTAATTCTCTTACACATACACGTCAAAGCAACTTTTCTTTGGTAGCTATTTAAAATAAATGTAAAAATCAGTATGCTGTTCAAGTTCAAGTTACATAGTTCAAATCTACTTCCGAAAATATTTAAGGATTTTTATCTGTATTACCTTCTTTTTGAGAAGTAATACTCTGGCCATAGAAATAGCACAGAGGCTGAGGTGCTGGCATTGCAGACTGCTGACCCCAGGTTCATTCTGGTTCCCTGAGCACTGCTGGGTGTGACCCAAAAAGAAAATAAAAAGAAGTAGTAATGCTCATCTTAAAAGATACTCTGTAATCTCTGCAATTCATTCAGACCAATAAATTAGGTATTCTTAAGAATAAACAAAGTATCCACTCTTAGATTACAGCCTCCATATTGTGAAGGTCAATTTAGAGATAAAGACTTTATTAGAGGGCTGGAGCGATAGCACAGCAAGCAGGTAGGGTGTTTGCCTTGCACTCGTCCAACCTGGGTTTGATTTTCAGCATCCCATATGTTCCCCTGAGCACCGCCAGGAGGAATTCCTGAGTGCAGAGCCAGGAGTAACCCTTGTGCATCGCTGGGTGTGACCCAAAAAGTGGGAAAAAAAAAAAGAATTTATTAGAAAGTAGACCTTTAGTGGAGATAGGTGTTTCAGTATATTATCAATATCTACACACAAGAAAAAGGCAAGGGCTGAAGCAATAATACAGATGTAGAAGGCTTGCATAGCATGCATCTGACTCAAGTTCGATCCTCAGAACCCCATATGGGTCCCCAAAGGTTGTCAGGAGTGATCCCTGAGTACAAAGACAGGAGTCGGCCCAGAGCAATGCTTGTGTGACTTAAAACACACTTGGATGGATGGAAGGAAGGAAGGGAGGGAGGGAGGGAGGGAGGGAGGAGAGAGTAGGAAGGAAGGGAAGGGAGAGAAGGAGGGTGGGGAGGGCCTTTAAGACTGATCACTTTCACCACAAGCTGAAATAATTCACAGTGTATAATAATTGATGAGAAAATAGTTCAACCACAAAAATTCTCTCAAACTAAAGTTGTTTTAACAAAGAACAAAAGTATACAATGACTGATTCTTTGATCACCTATCTTTATTTAATATTAAGGCTCTATCCTTTCTCAGTCTTTCAGAAATAAGGAGTACATTACATCTTCATATTCTCCTTAAATAACATTTGGTCCAATCTCTTGCTCCACAAATATTTGTCGAAAGGATACATTAATTTTATAGAATAACTCATACAAATAGAGCAGAGTATAAGTGAGCATAATGCAGAGAATGATTCAGCTGCAATGGTCCACATACAGAGGGCTTTGCAGAATTCAGAATCCGTAACAGTACGGCACTATGGATTAGGCTTAAAAAAAAATGTCATAATGTCAATGTCAAATTTTATAGCAGTGTCAAGAAAGTAATTTTACTTTCAAATTAGAACTTGAAGGAATAACAAATATCACTGACATCAGGGACAAGATGTTTTTCTCTGATGTTTTTCACTGCCAAGCAAGCTTGAATGTTAAAAACTGATCCACCTGAGAAATGAAGTCAGCATGTGATGTTAAGAGTGAATTTACTCAGTCCAGCCTCCTCAGCTTGTCATACTCAAAGACAATGACACCAAATCTTTGAACTGCTCTGTGAACAAAGTACTCTAATAGAACTCCTTAGAAATTAAGGAATCCCAAAATTTATGGAGTTGAATAAATGGCCAAGAAGTATAGTTAGAAAATTTTTTAATTGGAACTAGATCCTAGATCAAGATACAGATATTTATTCAAAGGTGTTCTTTAGATAACTGACTTGATGGAACTTGAAAATCAAAAGGAACCCAAACACTTTTTAATTTTGTTTTAAACAGACTTCAGAAAGGTTTCTCTGTTCCCAAAGTTTAAGTTGGCATTTTATGAACACTTCCTTTGGCCAAATACAATAAATATGACATAGGCCTGTCCTTTCAGCAAGAAATGTCTAGAAAGAACTGAGTCGCCTAGTTTTGGGGTATAGAGGAAGAAGGATAAATAAAGTCTTTTATAATCATAACAATGCATTTTATACATCCTTTTAGCAAGAGCTTATAAAGCCTTGGGCTACACTAGCACATGACAGGGGTGAATGGAGCACCGCTCTAGCAAATCAATGAACAACAGGGTGATAGTGATAGTGATAACAGAGAAAAAAATTAGTATCACCCAAGTACACCCCCATCCAAGATACAGCATTCATGAGTAACCCAATTATTACAGAAACTTTCAGCATTATTGATACACAGAAAACAGAATTTTTCATATAATAACAAATATCAACTTAAGTCGTAAACATACAAAAGATATTCTACATATAATAGAAAACTACATGTGTTTCCTAAGACTAAATTTAAGACACGTAAACAGGGAGGGACAAAAGCAAGATTCACACTAACAGATTAAATCTACAGTTTTAAAATGATCAGAAAGAACTGCAAAGTAGAGTCAATGGTCTGAATACCTGTGTTGGAGCAGTATCCATGAAAAGCTATAGAGAAAAAGAAAGAGAGAGGGCGTAAACGTTCATGCAGACTGAAACCCAGATGAGATGTACACAGTCCAGTTAAATATCCGACTCAAAGCAATTTTACTTTGGAAAATATTTTCTAAGGATATCATTGCTTGAGGATATCATACTCGGTTGTTCCAGACTCGAAAACTTAAGTGAATAACTTCAGAAGCTAAAAATGAAATAAATGTGAAGAAACAATACTATGACTTTGCCCACACCACCCTGCACCTACTTAACCCCCTCACAAAGGTGTGCATCCTGAGAGGGGCAGTCTCTCAAATTCATAAAAGCCAGTCCACCCGTGTTCTCCATTTCAACTCACAGACAACTGTGAAAGTACCGGCTGGAGAGACAGAACAGCAGGGAGGATACCAGGTTCTATCCCTGGCAAATCATCTGAGCCCCGAAACCCCACCAGGAAGATCCCTGAGCTCAGCGTCAGAAGTGAGCCCTGAGCACAGCCAGGTGTGGGCCCCAAAATAAACAAGAGTAACTTTAATGTAAAAGACTTTAAAAGACTGCTAATATTTTATCCTGTTATTATATCCTGTAGCGAGAATGAAGGGGGTGGGGGGGTAGGGGACAGCACGGGAATGGTCACTGGAATTCTTTTGTTCCAGTGTAAAAAAGTTTTAATTTCTGAGCCAGGATGTGGCCCAGTGTGGCTGAGTGTTTGCTATGCACATGTGAGGATCGGGATTCAATCCTCCAGCAAAGAAAAAAAGTTTGATTTCTTATTTATGTCTGACTACCAGTCCTACCAAGGAAACTTGCACAACATATTCACATGGCAAAGTCTTCTTTGAAATACCATTCGTTTTACCCACGAAAATAAAACAAATGAAACAAAATAACCTCCCTATCATCAAGGGGCACCACCAGTATCAAATATTTTGGATCAGTGAAATACAACGGACCAAAACACTGTGACAAAGCACTATCTACTTTTACACTAACCCTTCGGAACACTGTCGGAACACTGTGGATTCCACCAGGCCTCTTTCTTTCAATAACCTCCTGCCTGAGCCCTCCCAGTATGATGTCATTTTCCCCACCCACTGAGATTAGCTGCACTTTAATAACAAAACACAAACTCTTTAGTATAGTTAAAATACGAAAAATAGTCTCCGATAGAAAGGAAGAGCTTTATCCTTTCCCTTATAAGGAATTTTAAAGAGAAACTAACATTTTTCCAGGTCAGAAATATCCCCAAGGCACCAAATCTCCCCCGTGGCTCTAACAAATACAGAGCAGCCTTATCTGGAGTGTCTCTGCCGTGAAAACCAGTGCTCAGACCCAGGGAGAAGCAAACGTACCGCACATTCACTTTGCTGATTCACTGAGTCCTTTTTGCATATAAATGCATGGGGGAAATGTTTGCTTTGGAGCCTGAAACCCTTCCAAGCCCTGCTGACTGCAGCTCTGTGCGCTGGCCCAGCCCACTGCTGGGCCCCAGCTCATTATGGAGTTCTTCTCTCAACCAGAAACAAAACCCTGCACTCCACATGCACCCCCTTCCTTCCATCCTCAACACTCCTGTGCACTTTATTTTTAACTAGGTAGGAGAACAGAGGCCCCCCGAGATTTATTAGTAACGAGGCTTTGTTCCACCCATACAAGGGCAAGCACTCACTTTCTCCGAGTTCCTATGCAAAGCCACAAGAAGGAGCATTTTTCCTTCCCCAAAGCTTTCAACAATATGATTCCTCTGTACTCTAGATCCCCCTCAGAGTTACCAACTTTTATATTCTCAATTCACAAACAAAACATAGATTTCATGAGAGAGTTCCTCTAGCAGTAATTTATTTTAAGTACTTAGGGGGAAAGGCCTGGCAGAGTAGATATTTATTACACACTTCTTTTTGTCAATTAGCAAATAAAGTATAGATTTCATGAGTTCCTCTAGCAGTGATTTATTTTTATTACTTAAGAAAAATGAATGAAACATCTGGGAAATCAGATTGTGTGATAACCAATCTGGAAAATGAATTCTGGAGGGCCTGGACTATCTTAAATCTGGTCATTTCTAATATTCACCTCTCAAGCTTAATTTTGCAAAGACAAGCTATTGAGTGTGCTAGCACAGCCAGTTACTGCAGGAATCAATGGATGTTCAATAAATCACTCTGTGAAGCAGCTGCATCATTTCTGCATCTCCCTCCAGCCCCCATTCCCCAATTTTTTTAGCAAAAATAAAAACAAAAAAACGCAGCATCAGCTTTGCCAAAATTGCATTTTCTCTGGCTTTGGCTACTTTGGAGGAAAAAGTGGACAGTTGTAATATAGCTAGATGATTTCTAAAATTCTCTCAAAAGGAACAGAGAGATTGTAGCAGGTTTAAGGTGCTTGGCCTGTGGCTGACCCCCTCTGAATTCACAGCATTGCACAGGGTTCCTCCTAAGCACCAGCACTGCAGGGAGTGTTCCTGAGTACAAAACCAGGAGTTTGGCCCAACTCCCCCTACCATCATCTCAATTCTCTCTGATAAAGGACCTGGAATACAGCTCAAAGGGATTGAATCCATGCCTTTAAATATAAGAATTCAATCCCAGCACCACACAAACCCTCAAATAATGCTGGGGTAGCCCCCTGGGACATCTGAGCACAGCTGGAGAAGTTATCCCCCCAAAAAAGAATTCTCTCAAAAATATAACATAACACTAATTTCTATCAACTAGAACCAGAGACTCGGGAATTTACAAGAGGGGGCAGAGCAACAGTACAGTGCATAGGGTGATTGCTTTGCACATGGCAGATCCAGCTTCAATTTTCCATATGGTTCTCTGAGCACCGCCACGAGTGATCCCTATGCAGAGCCAGGGTAAGCCCAAAATACTGCCAGGTGTAGCAGAAAAACAAACAAAAATCTTCACTGTCTTTTTAACGCTTCTCTCCCTACTCCCAACAGAAATTAGGGAAATCCATTCCCTTTGATTCACAGAATGTCACAGCTTATGCTTGACTGGAACTACTGACATTAGTTTTTGGGTCACATCGGTGCTCAGGGCTGACTCCTGATTCAGTGCTCAGGGATCATTCCTGTTAGTGCCCACGTGCAGTGCAGAAAATTTAACTGAAGATGGCTTGGGTGCAAGGCAAGCATTACCTTCTGTACTATCTCTCGGGCCCCATTTTTTTGTTTGGGGGCCACACCCAGCAATGCTCAGGGCTTACTCCTGGCTCTGCACTCAGGAATTACCCCTGGTGGGTTGAGACAACCCTAAGTGATGCTGGAATGGAAGCCAGGCCACCCTGCGCAAGGTGAGTGCCTGCTCCGCTGCCCACCACCACCTTTTAACCCAGTCATTCTACTGTCGCTGCATCTCTTGACCCAACCACCACTTCTATGTTCACTGGAGCAAGAGAGAACTGTGACTGTTAACTTGTTTGCTGTTCAACTATCTAAGGAATCAGAGATACAGCAAAAAACTGACAAAACCATCAGAAGAAAAATTGCTGAAGAATCAAGCAAACACATAACTCAAGAGAATAAACTCACATTATGCACAAATTTAAGAGTAAGGAGAGGCAAGAAAAATGAATGCTAAATACTTTGATGAACTTACTGAAACTCAATAATATACATGTAACTATTGAAGAAAAATGAACTTATTTCCTTCTTGAATCAGCACCCCAAGTAACAGTATTTCCTTCCTATCAAGAAAAATATTTCTATCACTGTAAACAATAAATATACACGACTATTTTACATAATAAGCATTCAATAAATATTTCCCAATTAGTAAATAAAATTTCTGTCTAATGATGTCTGGTGTGAATATTATAAATCTTATTTAAAAGGATCATGCTTGGGGCTCGAGCAATAGCAAAGCGGGTAGGGCGTTTGCCTTGCACGCAGCCATCCCGGGTTCGATTCCAAACATCCCATATGGTCCCCCGAACACCGCCAGGAGTAATTCCTCAGTGCATGAGCCAGGAGTAATCCCTATGCATCACCGGGTGTGACCCAAAAAGAAAATAAATAAATAAATAAATAAAAGGGTCATGCATCATGTTTAATTTTATTAGATGAGTATCAAGATATCATTATAATCCATGTTTAAAAGATAAATCTTGACCAATATATTAACCAATATAATCACTTACTACTTCACTCAATATAAAATTTATTTATTATACTATAATAAATAAAAATATTCGATATGCCAGACACAGTAACAACAAGTCTCCAATGGAGACGTTACTGGGCCCGCTCGAGCAAAATGACGATCAACGGCTGGGCCCTCTGCTTCTTCTGCTAGTTATAATAACAGTACCTACCTACTGTTATTATAACAGTAGTACTACTACCTCCACTACCCAGCCACTGCCACACTCCAGGCTGCTTTACAGCCACGCAACACATCATAAGACACTTAATACCCATCTTCCAAGATTACCGTACCATATTTGATGGGGTTTGAACCATGGAAACACCTGCAAGGGTGATTACAGGCTACCGTAAAAGCCTCTATCCCTCTCGGAGAGCCCGGCAAGCTACCAAGAGTATCCCGTCTGCACAGCAGAGCCTGGAAAGCTATCCGTGGCGTATTCCATATGCCAAAAACAGTAAATACAATGTGTCTCATTCCCCTGACCCTGAAAGAGCCCCCAATACGGCAGCATCAAGGATGAGGAAGGAGAGGCTGATAAAATCTCAGGGCCGAACTAGGCTGCCAAAATGAAGAAGGACTAAAATGACTGTCTGTACTTTTAATGCACCTACACTGGCATTGGATGCATACATCGAGGACCTGATGGTGCAAGCATGGAAGTTCAAATACGACATCATTGGTCTGACAGAGACAAGAAGGCATTGATCACATCACCCCCATTTTCTACACTAGAGAAGAAATGTTCCTCGGAACATGCGACAAAAGAGGTGTTGGTGATGTCAGTGTCCTTGTCATTCAAATCCCTAACAACCCAAATCGGACGATTACACTGGAATAATTGCTGGCTCATTGTCAGCAGTT